GAGGCTGAGGCAGGAGAATCGTTTCAACCCAGGAGGCAGAGGTTGCAGTGAACCGAGATCGCGCCATTGCGCTTCAGCCTGGGCAACAAGAGTAAAACTGTCTCAAAAAAAAAAAAAAAAAAGTAAAAGAAAGAAAGTGACAGTTTGAACCTGGCTTTGCCAGACCATAGGCCTGGGCTTTTCCTGACAGGTCACTGTCTCTGGTCAGTGGGGGGACTGCCTGGTTGCCTAGTCCATCCCCACCTGCCACCCTCCCATAGCCTCAAGGGTAGCCTCCAGAAGACTCCACTGGCAGAGGAGACTGTGGACCTCTCAGGCATCCCACTGTCGGTACGGGACGTGCAGCACATCACACACTATCTGAGCAGCCACGGTGCTGTGCTGGTGGTGCTGGACCTGAGCTTCACAGGGCTGAGTGATGAGCTGCTGCACCTGCTGCTGCCCAGCCTGTGGGCGCTGCCCCGCCTCACCCAGCTCCTGCTCAACGGCAACCGGCTGACGCGGGCTGCTGCCTGCAAGCTCACCGACGCCATCAAGGACACCACCAAGTTCCCTGCACTGGCCTGGGTAGACCTGGGCAACAACGTGGATGTGGCTTCCCTGCCCCAGCCCCTGCTGGTTGGCCTGCGCCGGCGGCTGAGCCAGCGCACCTCACTCCCCACCATCTACGAGGGCCTGGACCTTGAGCCTGAGGGTGGTGCAGCTGGAACCACCACCCCTGCCTCCACCTGGGACTCCACAGGTGCTGGGCTGGGACCCGAGCCCCGGGCCTGCTGCACCAGGTGACCCACCACCCACCTGGCTCATTGCTACTGACTTGTGATGCTCTAAAGCACATGGTAGTGGGCCATGAAGGTCGAGGAGGACTCACAGGCCCCCAGAGATCCAGTGCAAATGCTCAGCCTGAGATTAAGGGGACAGAAGGAGAATGGACTCATAGGAGGCCAGGAGGCCAGCCCCGGCTAGAGGCTCAGGCTTCCCTCAGTGGGAGGAGCCCCAACACCCATAGTGTGGACCCCGCAATAAAGAGTGACACCCGCCTCTGCTTTTCTGCATCACCGATCTCAGGGTCACTAAGCAACAGCCCTGCTGCTGGGGTGGAGAGAAAGGGTGGCTGTGTCTATCCAAAAGGGAGGGACAAAGGTCACACTGACCTTCCC